TGCAAGACATCCTTTTGGCGCCTTGGACTGTTGAGAGAATCCAGTCGCAGGAATCGCACTGCAGGGGTGGGTTACGGAAAAAAAACACCAAATATATCGTCGGTTTTATTCTCAAAACATGAAAACTTGTGGTAATATCCAGAGTTTGTCATTCAGAGTGTGCCTTTATTATAATGACCTGTCAGTAAAAACAGCATTATAATTTCGAAGCAATAAGTGTCATGTCAAGTGTTCTTCGAAAATGTTGAAGAGATCGTCGTTCGAAACGTTAAGCTGTCGTTAAGAACTAAAGGCGTATAAATAAATAAACCTCCTCGTATTTTAATATTTATTTTTGCTCGTCCATGTTTAAAAATCGTCATTGCCAAACTGTAAGCAATTTAATTCGCTAACCGCAACAATACTGATGTAATAGAAGCGTTTTGTTCTTCACTTTTCCTTGTTACGCTGAATTTCGTGATGGAAACTTGTAATTTAATAATAAATTGGAGTTTTTTTTTTATTTCACTTCTATATACCACAAACTTTTGTACCTGACGGAGTTATGTAATTGATCCATAACCGCATTTTTATTTTCTATTTTCAATTGCTGATACTTAGGATTCAATAGAAATAAAATATTATCATGTGGAGACATCAATCTCATATTACAATATTCTTCCACTTATGCCGTTGAAATCAATCTATTTTTTAGCTTAATGCCCTCTCTCTATGTCTAATTAGATCGCATGTATCATATTCCAAACGTGTTTATACCGAAACCGTATAAGAAAGTTAAAACAGTGCGTGCGAGTCTGCCGTGTAAGGTATTGTAATGAGGGTGTGTAATGTGCGTTTCCACCTACTTACTGGTGAGTCAACTAGTTAATTAAATATGTGACAATTATTATTACAAAATGCGTTTAAAAATAGGAAGTACGCATGCACCTACCTGAAAATACGAGGGTCCAAAAATATTTAGAAGCAAGCACGTCGTTTTGGGGATTACAGATATTGACTTTTAGGGATCCGAACTTACTTCTTTGTCACATCACGAACTTTAGACAGGTAATTTCTTTGTTAGTTTACAAGACAGTCGTAAGTGTCTACCTGTAACAGCTTTAGGTGGGTGAGGAATTTAGTATATGATTGCAAGGTTCACTGGCAATTGAACTATACCTAGGGGTTGTTTCAGAATATAGACGAACTCTTATTGCATATTCGTCTACTTCGCATACTTGCCTTAATCTCTTTCGCTCGTCCGCCCGTTCTGCAGGAAGGATAATTAAGGTTTAACAAGCAGGGGTGACGGAAAAAAAACGAATTTTGGAGGAATTTTGACTGTAATACTGCCCTGAAGTCATTCCAAACGAATATCTGTAGAAGTTCACATTCTAAAGCTAAAGCTTCCTTCTATCTAAGGGAACTGGAATACTAAGTTTCTAGAAAGAAATTTGAGCCGAAATATGCATATACACGGTGTCCATTTTTCGAGTGCCACTATGGGGATCTCGCTTACCTGAAGAGATAGAGAGTTGGTTAAATGGGGGCAAAGTTGCGAATTTTCGTGCTGAATAATAATCTGAAAAGAAATTAAAAATATCTTTAGTAGTTTTGAAAATATCGCAAAAAAAACATTATTCAGACACTTTTTAATTTTTCGGGAAGAGTGCTTTGGAAAAACAAAACGTTCTTTTATCGTGAACAAAAGTATGACAGTTTGATCCATCTGTCTGGTTAGAGCGTTGGCAGGGAACTAGTTGAGTTAAGATTTTCATCTGAATATAATTGAACTTTCGTTTTGCAAGAAAATTATAATTCAAATTAGAACAAAATACTTAAGAAGAAATAATATTTTCGCAATAAAACTAGCACAAACGTAAATTACAACCTTTTGTTAACAACAAAAGAACGTTTTGTTTTTCCAAAGCACTCTTCGCAGAAAATTAAAATTGTAATTTTAGGAAAAATGTGTTACTGAACCACCATGTGTGATATATCGTTGTAAAGAGAAAAAAAGACGTAATCTCAAAATGTCAAAATCCAAAACGGCGCCCATAAGAAAAATTAAAGTTGCCACGTGTTTCTCCGTCATCTTAAAAGTTATTGAAAACGGGATGCCATATTCGAAATCTCCATTAAAAAGTGCCTGAATAATGTGTTAATTAGAAATGTCTAGAACGATTAGTTTACTATGAAAAAATTAAAAACGAAAATCAGAAATTTTCTTTTTTTTGCGATATTTTCAAAACTATCGAAGATATTTTAAATTTCTTTTCAGATTATTATTCAACACGAAAATTCGCAACTTTGTCCTCATTTAACCAAATGTCTATCTCTTAAGATAAGCGAGATCCCCATAGTGGCACTCGAAAAATGGACACCGTGTATGTAGAGCCAAATCCCCGTGGTCTAGCGGTCTAGCCAATCCCAGCATTTTCCATTATTTTTTTGGAGATAACATGTATAGATGTATATGGTACAAAAATACTTTATATTCAAAGCTACTATTTAGAAATAACCTTAATTTTGACTTTGCAAATGTTTCTCACTTTAAAATGGTTTGTCTGTCGAAGCCTAAAGCTCTTTCAAATGAAACTGGAATCCAATATACACGGTGTCTTAAATCGAGTGTGATAGCATGGCTATCTTTGTTATTTTTATACTTACAGATTCGGTTAAATTGGCAAAGTTGTGTAGTTTTTGATGCTGATGGATATTCCGATGCGATATTTTGAAAAAAATAATTCGTTTCGTAGATCGTTGGAAAAAAAATGAAAATCGCCATTTTTAAAAAAATCAAATATTTTAGTAACAAAGAGAGCTATCGAAGAAAGTTTCAAATAAAAGTTACAAGATTCGATGGGATAAAGTCAATGAACGGAGAAAAAATTTTTTTTAAATGGCGGTTTCCGTGATTTTGACATCACCTTCCTTAGTTTTTACGTCACTCGATAGAGAGAAAAATTACAAAACCAATCATACGAAATACTTAGTATTTCATTTGGGAATCGACCTTACATTTTTGCCTCGAAGTTTACAATGTATTTCTTATGGAAATAATTCCATCTGTCTGTCTTACTCTAGGAGACTTAATTTATGCATTTCCGGTTTCTGATGATATAAAACAAAATCCGATGTCGTTAGTTGTTCTTTTTTGAAAATGCAGCCAGCAAGTCATACAATAATGGGTATCAATTGGCCAATAACCATAACCTTCATCTTGGTATCCCTTGGTCAAACTTTCCGAAGACGAAGAGCCAGATGGGAATGGACAAATTTCCTCGATATTACCCCTAATTTTGTTATTGTCGTTGACCATGATGTTTACCACGTCATTTGTTGTCTAGTGGACGGTGAATTCCTCTTTTTAAACTTCCCATACACCAACTGGGAATGAAACATTCAGAAACATTTCATTTCCATCCAGTATCCACAGAACCCTACAGACAGATTTGCTGGTTCTCTAGTTAGTTGTGCATTTTACCCAAAACAAAAAACTAAAATTGTCTGTTTAGCTCTACTATATTTCAGTATGGAGAATACTCACCTTGTATAATTAACGCAGCTTGCTACAAATCTGTATTTGATTCGGGTATCGTTTCGGTTCTGAAAAATCAAACGCTTCCGGTACGGTTTTCGTTTTTATCCGTTGTACAGCATCGTTAGTTACTGCACCTGGGCATTGATGGGCTCTTTAAATCCGCGGGCGCTAGACAGTTGCCTTTTTTGTTCAGTCCGTCACTGCACGTTTGCGGGAATAGTCACATACAGGTTAATTCAAATTCGAGGGCCACCATGGGGATCTCAGAAACTGTATAAAGAGATAGGTAGGTAGTTTAAATTTGGCAAAGTTGCGTATTTTGACACTTAACAAAATGTCGTTTTGAAACAAAAAATTTCAACTACTTTTGGACGAAAAAAACGAAATTTTGCAAAATCGTTTTTATTCTTTATCGAAGTTATTTAAAAAGATATTTCGAAATAAATGACGTTATTTTCATTATTTTTCTGTACAAGATGCTAGTAATTTTAAATTTGACGTTTCGTCTCCTGCTAACAAACATTCGTCAACTTTGTTTTTTTCTTATGGAAATCATTTTACTTTTTGTGTCATTTAAGCATTTTTTTCTGATTTAAAAATGGAAACATCATTATGTTTTAAATATTGGTAAAATATCATCTTTTTTGCCTGGTAAACATTGACTTGTGTAGTGCATGTTCGTAGTTTCTTGCCTTTTTACGAATTAATAGCGCCATTTTTATCAAAAATAGTGATATTTACAAATACAAATAACTTCCGAAAGTAGTCGGATTTTTTTCAGTTTCAAAACTGCATTTTGTTAAGCATCAAAATACGCAACTTTGCCAAATTTAAACGATCTATCTATCTCTTACAGTTTCAGAGATCTTCGTGGTGGCCCTAGAATTTGGATCAGTCTGTATACTTCTTACATGCTTATGTCTTGTGCGTTTGAGGAAATCATGTTCCCGTTGTGAATTTAGTTGCGGGGATCTTTGCAAGCGAATTTGATTTATCATTTATGTATAGCAATTCAGTCATACTGACAGTAGGTGTAGGGGTAGGTACTGAAGTTTCTCAAATTCTGTTTAAGCGTCCTTATTTAAGGATGTCAGTGCAGTGTGTACCGATTTTAGTCTCTGGAATTAACAGTCTATGGGATATTATTTTCTGTTAGCTGCGCTCTGTGTCGGTTGGGTCAGGGTGAACATTTTTTTACGGTTTTTTTATTTGTAGAATCTTGAGCTCAAATCGGCGAATTCGTCTTATAAGGATAGCAGTAAGCAGCAATAGTGCTTGATGTCACTGCAGCTTGGGAGTGCTTCTTTTTGGACAAAGATTTATTGGTATTTGTCGTACCTCTAAAATGATGTGATCTGTCTTTACAAGCTGTTGATGTAGAATTCAGTTTCTTGCAAAACTGTTTTTGTTTGTGTGGTTAATCTGATGAACTTGACGTTAACCTCGTTGTTGGATATTGGATTGTGACTTCTTTGTTTGTCATATGCGTTTCTGTTCCATACATCTAACCGTGTATATGCATTTGTTTTGAGTGGGTTTGGCCTGCTCTAAGTATACTTGAGTTTGTGTTTAATCTACTAAGCCCAAACCTTTCCCCAACTAACGAATGTGAAAGAGATAAAGTGACTATGGTCCGTAGCTGAATCACACAAGGAGTGAAAACGTCCATGAAACTTCAAATTTGGGTTCGTTGGTCTAAAGTTTGTGATGTATAATTTGCATTCCAGCCCTCTCCGATGGTTATTTGGTGCATGTAAAACAATAATCAGGCACAAATGCGCTCGCAAAAAATACCCATGAAATGAAAGTACTGAGTATTCTTTTGAGATTATGAACAAACCTAGCACCAATGCAACATTTTAGAAAGCAGACTTAAAATGCATCCCAATACTTACCGTTTTGTTTCCAGATTAATGACTAATAACAGTGGTGCAACATAGGATATGATGGAGGTCGAGCAGTTTTCCAGGGCACGCTACTCCTGCATGCAAAAATTAAGCTTTGGAATGGGTCACATTTACAATGATCTATGTGCAGCGGTGTGGTTTTCTTACACCTTATTTTACTTGCAAGTTGTGTTGCAAGTGGAATCCTCAACGGCCGGAACACTCATCATGTTGGGTTTGTAGTGAGACAAATTATGTCGTAAGGCAACAAAATATGAGTGTACTAAACCATAATAAAAAACAGTAACTGGAATGCCGTCAAAATTTTTCATCTTCTTGTTTGAATAAGTGGAGTAGATTTGTGGTCAAAATAAATCAGATAATATTTTCTACTTAGTTACACTGTCAAACACAAATTTATCTTGAACTACATCATATTCAATTTAAAGAAAAAGAGTTTACGAAAAAAATACACCTTCAAGGCTGTGGTTCGTTACGGTCATTAATAACGGCCGAAAAAAACCATTAAACCCCTGTAGATTAATTATACAGCGTTTGCTTTTCCGTATATTAAATTCAATGCGATTGCATTTCTAATTACGTATTTATTTCTATAGAAGAATCCATTTTTTGCGCTCCGCTTCCTGATTATGCAAAACATTTTTTTAATCAACGCACGAGGACAGTGCGGTTCATGCCAAGTTTGAAATAAATATATAATGTATCAGTATTTTGCATAATTATTTGGGAATTTGGAAGTAATTAGCATAAAATGAGTACGGGGAAAGTTATTTTTCTTCACACAGGAGCATATAGAACAAATAGATTTCTATCCATTTTCGAAATTACATCATATTTTATTTATTCGCAAAGGTTATAATGATTTATTAATATTGCCCCAAACGTTAAGATTAAAACACTGATATGATATTCTGTTTATGGAAAAGAAAATAAACGTTAAGGTGAAATATGGAGGTGGCGAAAAATGATGCCATCTCTTAGGTTTTAGCTAACATCAATGTGTAGGAGGATCGACATTTTATACAAATATATAAAAAGTAAGCTGATCGATTTGCCGAAAGCGTAAAACACTGCTACTATAATGCTACCAAAAGCAAATTCTTATACGAGTCATCGAGCAAGTTAAAATATTGCGTAACTACAATTTTTGAGACATTTGGTGACACCTACATACATTTAACCGTAAGAAAAATTGAGGGGGGCAGAAATTTTGTTCATCAGGTTTGTAGAGGGAACGGAAAAGATATCCAAGCTATGTGTAATTTTACCACTGAGTAATAAATCCTTCACTCAACGATTTTACTATATTTGCACCATATGTTCAGCCCGCAAACTGCAGTGAATTGACACTTGAAAATGACAACGAATCTCAAATATTTAAAAAAATCAATCTTAAGTAATGAAGAAAGAGAAAACAAAGCAACAATAAAGAAGTATACATTGCAGATAAACCGCATTTTTTAAACCGAAGTAGCTTAGTGAATAGTTGGCTTATAGGATAGTAGCATGCATGTTATATTTATCAATGTTCACCTTATTGATAGATTATGGGAAGGGGGATCTTTACACATAAATATTTAAAGACCGCCTGGCATACCTATATTTAAAATCTACGCTATACGTATAATGCAAGAAGAATCAAGAATTCAAGACCTTAGAGAAGTTCTTAGAAATATTACATTTTCCCTTTCCTTTTCCCTTAAGTTTTCGCATCGCCAGTAGCTGAGTCTCGTCTAGAAGATCTTTTCACCCCTCCTCTGACACTCCGTTCTGCGTATATGTGCAGTTTTGACATGATCAGTAGACATATTTTGTTCAGGCGTTCTTCTTACCCTCTTCCGATATTAGAGATTTTAAGACATTCGCTTCGACGTCACCAATAGATATGTCTCGTCCAGACGATTCATTTACTCCCCTCCGACAAACCCTTTTCGAGTATTCGGTCTTAAAGTTTTGCCATTACCAATGAATGCATTTCTTCCAGACGTCTCAATCGCCGGTTGTGGGTAAGGGGTCGAGGAGGAGGACTATGATTGGTAGCATTTGATTCCTTTCGTTGGGACCTTTCATTAGAGTACCGTGAAAGATGAAATCAAATTCTACCCCACCCCCCTCCCTTTCCTACACCCATCGCCCACTAATCTAGAAAAGGAGTCACGCATCAAAGTTATATTTTGTAGAAACCAATTCGTTACGATGGTACCCTTCATTAGAATACCATGAAGGGTAAAACGCGTGTTCCCCTCTCCTTCCCCACTGTCGAAAGTTTTACTTGGCACAACTAACGGCATGCGAAGGCAAAATCTGACATTAATTGGTTGTCGCATGCATAAGTTTTGCACGCTTCTTATTCCCCTAAAAGTAGTTCAAAACCGCAGAGGTGGGTCTGGACGGACAGTCAGACGGTCAGACGGACGGACGAACGGACAAACAAAACGCATACAATAGCACATTTTTTTTTATGTTTAAAAAATGCGCTAAAAAAAAACAGTTTCACAGAAGACGGGAATTAGCTAAAACTCCAGGGGTAGTCATGCATTTTCTATTAGGTGTGAACTGCACTATTAGTCAAGGCCACTTTCCAGTAAATGCTCTCCTTGATATGCAAGAAGCATTTCGTGTAACGATTGAGTTATAAGTGGTTTCCCTTGATTTCAACCCGGCTGAATACGATTCTGCCTGTTGTCAAGTCTGAAAATGGACGGACGGGAGATATTCAAGATGGTTTCCAATACGGCGGTGTTTGGACCACCCTGGTGTATTTTCCGTCCAAAATTCCTGACTTTTACAGTTCCAAAGTCTGGACATACGTTTTTGGGGTTAAAGAACACGATGGAAAGGTCAAAAATGAGGCCGGAAGTGAAAATCAGCATTTGGTGATATTTGTGCCAAAATGGTGCTAAACATTCCGATTTTTCTATCTTTATAGAATGCTATGAATTTCTTCTCTTTACCACCCGCACAAGAGTAAGGGAGCATTGGGGTAAAAAATGGCCTTTGTTTGCCTTTGCATTGTCTAGGATCCCTGACAGGGTTAATCCGGCACTGCTTCAATGAAGTATTTGAATGGTACAGATTTACTGGCATTGGGTAGCTTAGGCACCAAACTTTATGGGTATAAAAGCATGGAGTCTAGCAGTTACACGCCTGGAATACTGAAAATAGTGACTACCGAGCTCCACCACCACGATCAGGTGTATCCCTTGCCACCCTTGGGAGTCGCTCTCGGAATAATCGCTTTCGCAAAATGACCCCGGATTGTCGGAATTTTTATTCCGAAATAAAATTCGCTTCCGCCGGAATGCTCCCTGTCCATAGACTAGTTCCATAGGAATTTCACATTCAGCTCTGAATTCTATTTAGTAAATTCTGGACTGTAATTACCTAACTTTTTCAAAAGTTGTGGTAAAATTTCGGCTTTGAACTCGACATTTTATCCCTCCAATTTTGAGTCACCTTCGAAATTTACCGCAAAATTGCCGTTTATAAGTAACTCGAAATATAACTCTCAATTTTAATGTCGAAATTTAAGAAGATGTAAATGTAAGCGTATAGGACTTTGGGAATATTTGTATTATTATCAATTTGGATAAAAAATTTACTACCAGATTGAATCGTTATGGAAGCGGTGGAGATGGAAATGTCTATCCAAAATGCTTTCCGCCTTTGATCAACTGGCAATTAGTACAACCATTGACAAGTAACAGTAGGTGGGTCTTTGCTTTTACACCTCATCAATATACAATAATAGAGATTTGTAATTGAAATTTGCCATTTACCAATGAGTGGAATAATAAATTTAAACAATTGTAGGATTATACAGCCGCGCCATCTTTTTCGCATTAGCAACTTTCACGGATTTTTTCACTTGCCCCTTATTGCGGCAATACAGCATAAACAATGATAATGTTGCTTAAATCTGTGACAGTAACGAGGCTGTCTAGATGAACACCTGCGCAATTAATATTAATATAAAACAAGTATTTCTTACAAAACAAGGCCAATGTAAATTTAACTGTCGGATTATATTTGCAAGTTTAGTTAGACACACACCATGAGAGCTACGTAATTATTTCGTGTAGGTACGTCATGGGATTCCTTCGGGCTATTTTACCAAATCCAAACAAATTTCATTTAAAGTCATCGGCTGTATAATGCAAAATACTTGCTTAACCGACCAATTGATAAAAGATTCTCCGTAAACCCGTATAGAAAGTTTTTTTTATTTTATAAACAAATTTACGGCATAAATTAACGGCAATAGGCAAAAAGTTAAATCATCTAAATGACAACTTGGACGCTGCTAGCACATCCACGATTATTTAATGCCGCTTAGAATTCGCATTTTTAATTTTTCAGTTTAATAAAGTAACGTGGATAAACAATAAATAAATATATTATTCATTCATTAAATCTACAAACTTTACAACTAAGGAATAATCTATGCAGCTTATATGTTAATTTAAGTGGTTATGCAGGTTTAATAATTGTAAGATGCCGATATTTGCTTTAAAATTCAATAAACGGGTCGACGTAGTGGATATGCCGGTTTTATATTTAGTTTTTTTTAAGAGTTTACGTTTTTTTTTAAAATGTGTTTATCTTTCAGGTCAAGTGGTAGACGCGGTGGCGACACCAATCGTCGGATGGGCCATAGACAAAACCGGTGTGCTCAAAGTTTGGCATTTTGCAGGTAATACAATCGCTCTTCATCACCTTACTCCAAGAAAACTCGACATCGTTTATTGCAAGATTTTGATTTAATGGTTTCTTCGGTTCCAGTTTTTTAAATTGCGACTACTGCAGTTGTACCTACCGCTTCTTGACATTTGCAAATATCCACACACTCAAAGATCTTATGAGAATTTGCAGATTTACGTCAAGGAACATTTATCCATTAACGTGTAGGAGTGTAAAAGCTCGCAATCGTAATTTGTCCACATTTATAAACAAAGTGCTACTCAGCAAAGTCCATAAACCTTATACCGCACTCTATGCAGTGCCACAAATTGAAAAGAAAGATACATCTCATATAAAGTGAAATTGCGATAAAGAAAATCGTTAGCAAAGTCAGACACTATTTACGTTCATTTTTGTGCCGCTAAGGTTAAAATTAATTAAAGTAAACAGTTTACCATCTTTACATCTTATTAAACCTAAAATTCAAGAACAAACCATTAAAAGCGAACTTATGCTAGTGCTCGTTTATTTTGCTAAGACAAAATTTGTACTGATCAGGAAAATTAACAATCGAAACTTGTATTCCAACATTGATCACCACCAAAATTCCGATCCAAAGAGCTGGAGTGTATTTCAATTCAAATAGTCGGGTTTTAAGAATGCATCCCGGAAATCACCTGGTACTGGTAACCACCCCAATGTGTTCAGTGAACCCCGTTAGCTGTAAGAACTTCAGGTTTCCACATAAAGGAAAGAATTTCGCCCAGAAAAGGTTCGTTATAAAATTCAAAATTGTTTGACTTTGGTAAATTTAAATCGACAGCTTTACGATCCACTTATAGACCTTTTATCCTATTACTATTACCACATAAACTGTAACTGAGAGATCATAAAGTTGTTGAAAATCGTAAATTATTGTTGTATCCTTTGGTGATTTTATCAATAGGTACCCCTGAATTTGTGACTAGTCTGTTCTTATTCTTATTTTACGAAATCGAATTTAAAGTTCATAATAAGGGAACAAAATTCCCAACTTATTTGTCTCCCACATGCGTATAAAGTCCAGCTCACACAATAATTAAAGTCTGCTGACCATCAATAACGAAGGAGATACGCCGAATGGGTCCTTGAGCAACAGGCCGTAAATGTTGATTTTTCGAACAAAACTTTCTTCAGCGATGAAAACGCTCAAACGATTAAAGAAGAGGCCGTTGCATCCACAATAAGTGACTGTATGGTGCGCATTATGGGCTGGTGGCGTCATGGACCCATATTTTTTTGAAAACGACGGAAGGAGGACCATTATCGTCAAAGCAGACTTTTTTTGATCCGCGATTGAAGGTATGGACGTGGACGACATGTGGGTTCAGCAAGACGGCGCAAAAGACACACAATACGAGCAATTTTGACTCTATTGCGCGAGAAGTTAATTGATGGCCACCGACATCATGCGATTTGACGCCGTTGGACTCTTTTTGTGGGGCTACGCAAAAGATCCTGTTTATGCAGACAATCTACTAACATTAGAGCATTTGAAAACCAATATTTCTCGAGTTATGGCTGAGGTACCACCCGAAATGTGTCAATTTCGTATGTATTTTTTTACGCTTTGATTTTGAAACCACAAAATGGATAACCCACACGACACGATCCTTTAAAAGCTAAATGTGACTTAATCCCGAATTAAAAAAATGCAACAAAAATATAGTCATTAAAAAAATTCATGTTGGTTGGAATGGGAGCCAAATTTTATTGGATAAAAGATGTTGGAAATCAATTTTTTTTAATTAGCTAGATATCTAAAAAGACGTACAGAAATTTATCTGTTATATGCGTTCGCTTGCCCCACGTACTGGGCGAACACAAAAGGCACAGTGAAATTGTTTTATAGAAAGAACCAACTGTGTCCGTTAGTCCTGGAGCAAAAAGTTTATAGTTGGACTGAAATTCAAGGATTCAAACAAAAATGATTTTGGATGCGTGGTTATTAATGATGCAAAATATACTGAGCAAGTTTCTTATAGAATGTGGCTTGTAGAATCCATAATTTCAAACAGTTCCAAGATTGGGCTACTAGTTCAAAAGTTACAGCCCTTTGAATTTTCTTTCGAAATTGGTTTCTAGTCTATAACTTTAGATTGGGAAGTCTAATCGAAAAAGTACGAATTGTTTTGGATTCTACGCACCAAAATTAATAAGAAAAAGTGTTTTCCCGAGAAATTTTGGTGCAGTCGATTTTTGGTAAAACAGGAAGGTTATACACTGCCTTTTTTTGAGCCCCGAAAAAAAAATTGTCTCAGATCGACCCGGAAAAAAAATTTTCTTATGGAATGTGGCCTGTAGAATCCATAATTTCAAACAGTTCCAAGATTGGGCTACTAGTTCAAAAGTTGCAGCCCTTTGAATTTTCTTTCGAAATTGGTTTCTAGTCTATAACTTTTGATTGAGAAGTCCGATCGAAAAAGTACCAATTGTTTTGGATTCTGAGCACGAACGACACAATGTTGTTTTGGGCTTTGCAGATCAAATCCAATCCAACTTTAATGTGTTGTCAATGTTCACGATATAGTTTAGTTAAAAAATATGACTTTTTTAACGATTGTCTACTGCGTTTCGACCGATTGGAAACAGTCGCATTATGGATGAGCAGATTAGAATGTTATTCTTCATGCCGCTTTTAATTAATAAACCATTCTAATAAGATTATATGTTGTGAAATATTCGTTTCATAAATTAACTTGTAGGAAGTTCTTTGATATCAGTGGGAATATCGTTATAAATTTTTGCGATATGATATAATATGAAAATGATCGTTGAAAAAATGATATTTATCTTCAAAAGGAGGCCATTTGGATGATTGGATTATGATAAAAAAAAGGAAACTTGCAAGTCTTTTTGCCATGTTAACCACGTAGCATTAATAAGTTTATGGGAAATTCTTTTGAACTTTTTCAGTTTTCAAAAGTTAACGAGGATTTTTACTCTTTCGATTGTCTTCCCTTACACCTAAAGTTACCGTGAACCTTTTAGACCGTTTAACTTCCTACAACTTGTGTGTATGTAAAACGCTTCAAAGAGAAGTCAATTGTTCTACATTCATTAAAAATATGATTGCTTATCCATATTCAGTGGATCAGTGCTATGTACGTTATGGTGATTTGGCGAGGGAATTAGAGTAAAAATATAGCCATAAGCTTGAATTAAGACGAAAATAAAAAGCCTGATCCACAACAATTTGACTGATCGAACTCAAATTTCCAATTGAATTTGATATTTTCCCACCAAAACACGTTCTTTCATATTGATGAGTTTTTGGTCATTTCACTTTCACTTTTCATGTACTTAGATAATTAAATTCCTTGGACGTGAACGTCATGTCAAAGTAGCATAAGTAGATATGGAAGGTTTTGAGTTGTTGACTTGTTTCCTTCGCAATTTGGCGATTGCAACCTTTGTAATGGAAGTACTAATTGCATCAATAATTATGCAATGAACAGTGCGGTACCTATTTACCTACCTTCGCAGGAGAAAATGCCTAGTTCAATCTAAATACAATTCATTCTTCGAATATGGCGAGGTGTAGGTATTGTTTCTACAGGTGTGTGATACTGTTTAATATAATTAAGGTCATCTAAAACAGTCTCACAATGGCATAATATCTACGTCGGCGGTATATTAAATTATTTTTTTAGTTCTTACATATACACATAATGTAATAAAAAAGTTGTTAATTTTACAACGTTTCTTTTTTTGGAGTACTTATTATAGTGTAATCAAATCTAGTGCATCGAAAGTTGCGTGGTGGTACTGTCCCTGAAAAGTGACTAGATCCTACGCACTTGCATAGAAAAATAAACTATATTATTTATATAGTATTTCTTCAATTTACTTACCTACATAATCTATTTTTCTAGGAACAACCGCAGTGGGCGTTGGTTTCTCTTTAATCTTTTCCATTGTACCGAACACAAACTCTTGGTGGTCAATATTGTGGTATAGCGGTTTGATAATACTTTTTCAAGTTGGTTGGGCCACCGTACAGATATCGCATTTGGCAATAATACCCTGCATTTCTCAAGATCATACACACAGCGCTGATCTTACAACTATAAGGTAAAAAAACCGTCAAATAAATAAAAGGGAACAATTCGTTTTAGGTACGCGGCATCCGTCTGTTGTGGCATCACAGTATATTTGATCACTTGGATGGTTCTCAAAACTACTCAATATGTAGATAAATTTGGTCCTGACGACTTTTATAAATTTCGTGTAAGCTAATATGGTAATCTAGTTACAAGCTTGACTAATTGTATTTATTACAGGAAATAGCTTTCATTCTAAGCTTCATTGGAATTTTTTCATCTCTGCTGTTCTACTGTGGATTACACGCTGTTAACTACAGATATGAGAATCTTTCGGAAAGCAATGGGCTATTACGACCACAGTCTAGCTTGTTAAAGACTTCCATTATTTACCAAGTTTCATTGTTGTAAGTTCACGAATATTAAACTCTGTTGTTTTTGAAGCATCCAGAACTCAGAAGACTCTTTTGACACCACCAAATTACTAAAATGTCTTTTCCTAATGTATCTTTCAGGTATATGGCTTCAAGACTGTTTACAACATTAAATCTTATTTACATACCGCTATTTTTGGAAGAGAGGGAGTTAAAGTTTATGCCAAAGGGTGATGGTATCCGGCAATCTATTGCGATTGTACCCCTAGTCTCTTTTTTATCTTCATTTGCGATGTCGATTATTCTGAAATGGCGTCCGAAACAGATGAACGACAAGGTATAGTATAGCACTACGGTATTTGTCATACGTTAAACGTTTTAGATGATTTATATCGTTGGCTCGATTTTCTCTCTAATTGCGTGTGCATGGATAGCGCTAGCGATTAATTCAGATTTGGGCCGTCAAATCTACGGTATCGCCTGCTTCATTGGTAAGATGCGCAATAGTCCAGCTTCGCCAGAAATTAGCTCCAAAGCTAAGGTCCGTAGTCAGGATAAAGTAGCAGAGACGGCAAACTGTTTTATAGACAAAAGCATTGACTACTAAGTACCCTCTTTTTGGGTTCTTTCTTTTTCAAAAGCTAGAAATGACAAATTGGACAACCTTTGATGTGTCATTTCTATCTTTTTAGGTCTATTTATCCTCGCCAAGGCAGAAAAATAAACAATACTATTGCATAGATGGGGCCCAGCCCCTCCTGGCTACGGGCCTGTAGACCAATCTCCAAGTCAGTTTTTGTAACTGGTTCAAAAATATCGTTTACTTTTTAAATGGGCAATTTTGATCGGCTATTCATGCGTTTAATAGCAGAGCAATGTGGTGTTGGCGTAGGAGTTTTAACAAAGCACATAACCTTCCAGTTTGACAAGGGTGTAAATTAAATGTTTTAAGCAGCAAAGCATTTAGCAAAATATCTCTAGAAATAAAAAAAGTTACCCTTACCGCGTAAACATATTTTTGTAATATTTCTGGTCTTTTATTGGACAAAAGGAGCAAGCAATCGCCAAGATTTTTATGGCATTCACATACCTATGTCCTTGGAAATCCATCGATATTTTCAAAAATCAGTAAAATTTGTATATTTTCCTTCGTTATCGGGAAAATGCGGCTAAATTTCCGGAAATTTGTCATGTAAGCTCGTTTCAGTTAAAATGTCTTCAATTTTATACGATTTTTGGTTATACTGGGGGTTGACTGATTTTTTAAATTTTTTTAATCTGTGTAAAATTTGGACTAAATTGAATGTAAGTGAACATATGACTGAACCGAAAGGCTTTCGAGAACGGGTCATTTTAGATACAGGGAGATAATTAAAAATTTACCCTTCTTGTTCAGGATAGAATCCATTGAAGTTATTGAATATAAGACTAAACCGGATGGTTTTTGAAGTAATTAAAAATGTTAAGGTGACTGCACATATTTTCGTTTCGTTACCCTTTCTTCAAAAACCGCCCAATTTAGATATTAATGGTATAGCTTTACAGGTCTAGAAAGCCCTGGGCTTGGGTTATCTCCCTCCACCTACTCCTGTCCAATGCTCGGTCCAATGGCTGCTTCTTCCCAATTGCGGATCTCGATTTCTTTTAAGTTTGCTACAAATGCATCTATCTACTTCCTTTTCGGTCTCTCTTTTCTCTTCTTCTGCGTGATTTGTCTGGTTGCTCTTTCTTCTCCTAGCCTCCGTATGTGGCATTTCTATTACTTAACTTGTACAACTTTTGGTGCAAAGTTGGTACTTCTTCTGTAACTTTTTGTCCCGGTAGCAACCTTTCCTGTATCCTTAAGAACATTTGCAGCTGTATGTTTGAACTTATTCCAAAATTTAATGAGACACACACAACATTCAAGCGCCGATTCAATTGCACTTTCTGGAGACCTCCATTTTCCATTTCCTTTGTTTACTTTTCTTCTCGAACCTCTTTCGCGAATTACTACACTAGTGACTAGAAGCAAAAACCGAAAAACCTACTAAGAAATGTATTTTAGTGTTTTCGCGTAGGTATACACAACCTTTACACATGCACCTACAGAAAAAACATGATAAATTCCCCTAAACTAAAATGTCTACCAATGTTAAGTATTCCTTTAAAATATCTCAAAGTGCCTGCAAAAACCAGAAAATACCTTGACATACTGCACATACCTCGTGGTCCTCGCCTACTATTTCAACGCGCGAGTGTTCCCATTATATAATCTAGGAGACCCAGTACTACTCGTATATCGTGTCATGAGTATTACAATATGCCATACATTGTTCCCATTTATGTCTGGGTAAATTTTCATACGCAGAGTGGAGACCAGAGGGTGGCCATGCGCCTACCTAAACCCACCCTTTTTGGCTACGTGACCTAGTTTAGGCGGACCAGGAATAAAAATTGAATTGGGGTTTCGGAGGAATTTCAAATAAATGGCCTAAATTGTCAGTGTACCGACTAATTTTATTTGATTTTGATTCGGTAGGGCTTGGAAGCTCATCCACGATGATATCGAGTTTGTGCTTGACTGCAGAAGTTGCAAAATCTCATGGTTTCGGAGGATCTGTTTACAGTACTGTCACGTTTACCGATAAATTGGTATCTGGAGGCATCGTCGTTATTACTCAGCATTTGTAATTTATCCATTTGACGAGGAGTAGAATAACACTGATTCTCTATTTACAGAAGCCCAAAATCGATTGAGATGTCGTCGAATTTTTATGGACATGTTTTGGCTTACGTTTGCGGGAGTACTGCAGTCATAGGTTTAATTACAGTAACCACATTGTACTATCCACGACAATAGAATGTCGAAGTACTTCGATCTGGTGCTCTGTGAATTTATTTGAAAACTCATACGTTTTGTATAAATGTGTGTACCTACCTGCTAAAAAATAAAATTTCCTAATTTTCTAGATTGAAAACGTAAGGAAAGCTGCTTAAAAAAGAAATGTTATTTATGTTATATTATAATATCTGTATAATATAATAGTGCAGCTTTCAATGGAACAGAGAAAAATGAGTAAATGCGAGATTTTACCGAACGAAATTATTCTAGACCAAGCAAAATTTCATTTTTCAATGCATCAAAAGCAATGACAGGTATGTAAAGGAATGGACCATAGCCGCGCATCAACTTCTTCCATATCAATGATCCTCACATTTTGGTTGGCTTAACTCCATTTCATTTCCAATTGGTGTAAGATCCAAGTTTATTGATATTATTTAACAACAAACATGGAAAAGGGGACTAATAGGTAAATATGGAGTTGTCCAAAGATTCAGAAAGCTTCTGAAACTTTGGTTAGGCTCTTAATATTAGCATGACAATTCATCCAATTCCAAAATGAGCAAACGTAAATGATTTCGCATTCCTGCCATTTATAATTTCGTGGATTCTCTTGCGCAAATCTTTGCTGTTGTAAGTAGGTATTTTTAAAATTAACAACTGCATTTCGCAAATTGAGGATATTATCAAACTAAATTTTTAATTCGCTAATTTACCTCCTCCCCCTTGAATTTTTGTGTTGGAGTTGAGAACTGCAACAGCGAATTAAAGCCAGTTTGGGTAGTGCATGCTCGTCCTCAACTTTTTCAATGGTTAGAAACATTTAGATATCAACCCCCTTCGGCTTTATATTGTTTGATGATTCCGAACAACTTGCTACAATTTTCGCTTTTACCAGAGGGTATAGTTAGCGTTCTTGACATAAAATGCTCCATGAAACAATTAACTAAGACCCCAATAAAAATAATTATTATGTGGACTGGGGTCTTAGTTAATTCAAGCTACTCTCTGCAAGTTCTTCTTATATTCCACTCTCTGAGGTGCACCACAACAACATTTTAAAGTACTCCTTTCTCGAAAATAAATTACCATACAGTTTTTTTTTAAATTGCAGCTGATAATTAAAAGTAACAAAATATACAATCCACACGAGGTGTATTTCAGCACTTTTCTTATAGAATGTGGCCTGTAGAATCCATAATTTCAAACAGTTCCAAGATTGGGCTACTAGTTCAAAAGTTACAGCCTTTTGAATTTTTTTTCGAATTTGGTTTCTAGTCTATAACTTTTGATTGAGAAGTCTAATCGAAAAAGTACGAATTGTTTTGGATTCTACGCACCAAAATTAATAAGAAAAAGTCTTTTCCCGAGAAATTTTGGTGCAGTCGATTTTTGGTAAAAAAGGAAGGTTATACACTGCCTTTTTTTGAGGCCCGAAAAAGATATTGTCCTCAGATCGGACGCAGCGAAAGAAAAAATTTCTTATGAGAATGTGGCGTGTAGAATCATAATTTGCAAAACAGTTCCAAGAATTGGGCTACTAGGTTCCAAAAGTTTTACAGCCGCTGTTGGAATTTTTTTTCGGAAATTAAGGTTCTGGCTAGTCTATAACTTTTGAATTGAGAAGTCTGATCGAGAAAAGTAACGAATCTGAAATATTGGATTCTACGCACACCAAACTTAATAAGAAAAGGTTGGTTCTTCCCTGAGAAATTTATGGTGTAGTATCGATTTTTGGTAAAAAGGAAGGTTTATACACTGGCCTTTTTTTTGAGCCCGCGAATAAAAAATTGGGGTCTCAAGATCGACCGCGGAAAAAAAAAATGTTTCTTAATAGAATGTGGCCTGTAGAATCGCATAATTTCAAAGAGTTACGCAAGATTGGGCTAGGTAGTTCAACAAGTTACCAGTCCCTTTGAAATTTTTTTCCGAAATTGGTTTTGCTATCTATAACTTTTTGATTGAGAGGTCTGATCGAAAAAGTAACGAATTGATATTGGAATTCCACAGCAAGCGACAAGATTTTTTGGTGTAGGTCCCCGAATTTCGGTAAAAAAGAGGAAGGTTATACACAGGGGTGGACTGGGTACTTACGGGCCATTAAAGTATTAGTGTAGTAATAAAGGTGGCACGGGGGGGTTAGCTCTGAGGTGCACCACAAAAACATTTTAAAGTACTCCTTTCTCGAAAATCAATTACCATACAGTTTTTTTTAAATTGCAGCTGATAATTCAAAGTAACAAAATATACAATTCACACGAGGTGCGTCGCCTATCATTGTATTTCACCACTTCAAACACTTCAATTAAAACAGAATTTTTTAACAACCCCAATTAGAGAAACGTGTTAATAATTTATTAATAGTGCAAGAAACTAAATACAGCACATACTTATAAATTTCCAACGGGCCATTATGACGTACAGGCAAGGTGTCTACCGCCACCCGCCCCCCCCCCCCCCCCCGTGCCACTCCGCCCCTGTCCCTAACCCCCTACACGATATTTCGTTAAATTGGTCAATTTCTTCTTATGTAGGGGTTTGAAAAACAGCATTCCACCAGAACATGGTAAGTGTAAGTTACGAAAATATATGCTTATGGAGTGTACCCTTGACTCTTGAGGTAGCTAAAGATACAATAAATATTCAGTGTATGGGCTGTGGAAAGACAGTACTTCCAGCTCTCCAGGAAATGGTTAGGACATCAGGAGTAATTAATTAATTTATTATTTATTTAATAATCTAGAAGAAGAATTGCAGTGGTAGCAGCTGATTCTCCACTTTTGTCTATCCCGGGCTTGCTGTTTCTTTTGGTGGTAACTTTTCCTTCCCATTATATTTGTAAGTAGTCCAGTTTTGGGTTTTCCCTCCTGCTATTGATCTTTCCTTCGATTATCATCAAACAGTCTCGCTTCAAAATATGGCCCATCCACATTCCTTTCCGGCTTCGCATTGATCTTATAAAAATCTTCTTCCCTCACCCACTCTTCTTATAACATCATTCTTCACTCTTTCTGTCCACTGTAGGTACTTTTGTTTCATTGTCCGCCATAGCCACATTTCAAAGCTTTCTATAAGTACCTTTCTTCTTGCTTATTCATACTCCACGTTTCTGATCCATATGTGACAACACTCCGAATGCGATTTTTCCTTGATATATTCTACTCTTTATTGGGTAGGTACGACTGGGCAAAGATATGCAGTATTATCTTTGGATTGGTCGAGGGCGTCTACACATCTAATGCCGGATTAATGCCCTGAGAGCACGGACCTCTTTTTTTAAGAGGTCCGTGCCTGAGAGGCTCTAAAGCAATGAGAATTTTTGAGGTCAAAACCCACAACTTTAAATGATGAGTGTCTCAGGGGCCGAGATTTCTAAGGAACAGACAGACAGCCGACACACAGACAGACAGACAGACAGACGACGGAAAATTTAGCATATAAGCAATAAGCAAAGATATAAGCGTGAATGCGCGCGCGTGGAAGGTCTGCTTTACGCTAAAAATTAAATTGAGGCGTGCGGAGCGCCCCTCCCTCCTCGGTATTAATAATTTACCATTTCCTTCTTTCATCAATATTGTTCAGAATTTCTTCTGACATCCATTTTTTCTTATATCCTCCCTCGTTCTTTCTTTTCCTACCTCTCTCTTTCAAAGCATTTGTTACTACCTCCTTAATGTTGCACATATGGTATAATTTATTATTTCCTTTTGGTTATTAGCATAACCACTTTTGTCTGCCCTTCTAGAACGGGATAAGCCATTCGAATATTCATGTACCAACCGGTCCGTGTAAATCCAGCATTACAAATCATGTGTATACTGTACATGGCATGACATTTTTTTTTTATTTTCGTTCACCCTGTTTGTATACAAAACAAACTGTTGTCAAATAGAAATTTCCTATTTTAAATTTAAATGCCCAGTATAAAAATATACTTATTTAAAAATCCTGGCATGGTATATAAATACTATCTAATAGCCAGGTTTAGAAAATAATCAACAGTAAGGTACCCCTTTAAGGTTGTTTCTGCTACTAATACACGTTTTCCAGTTCTAACCTAATTCAATTTCCTTTAAAAATACTTGTCGATAATGCCAGCCAAAGTGAAGGTAAAAATTATTGCCGGGAAGAATTTGCCAGTTATGGACCGTTCCAGCGACACTACTGATGCATATGTCGAATTAAAGTTAGGCGGAACGACGTATAAAACTGAAGTGTGCAGAAAATCTCTAAATCCGCAATGGAATTCCGACTGGTATCGGTTCGAGGTAAGTTCTACTAATACAAGGGTTTTTGCGTACTGTTCTTGCTTGTAGATGGACGACTCGGAGTTACAGGATGAGCCCTTGCAAATACGGCTAATGGACCACGATACATATTCGGCGAACGACGCTATAGGAAAGGTTTATGTAGACTTAAACCCCCTACTTTTACCGTCCATTCCGGTTATGCCAAAATGCAGATGGAGCGGCGACCCTAGCAGTAATGGGGAGCATAGTACGAACTCGTTGTTGTCTGGTTGGTTTCCCGTGTATGATACCATGCACGGGATTCGGGGGGAAGTCAATGTAATGGTGAAAGTGGAGCTTTTCTCGGATTTTAACAAGTTCAGGCAATCTTCGTGTGGTGTCCAATTTTTTTGCTGTAATTACTTTAGGGTTACAAAGGAGTAGAAGGGCTATGTGTGGATTTTGTTAGATTTAACTCTTCAGATTCTGAATTCAGACTTCAAATTCTGAATCCAGGCCTCAGATATTAAAGGAGGTTTAACTGTTTGGATCCTCAATTCAGACTTCAGATTCAGACTTTGGAGATGTTTTAACTCTTCAGACTTTGAGGTCAGAATTCAGACTCAAACTCGCATGTACTTGGTTCAGTGTAGGTACCTCATTGTAGCTATGCTGTTTTTGTAAGACTGTTTCAAAAAATCACGGTCACCTCTTCAGTATTCAATCTTATAAAATCTTACCATTGGTACAATGCCATTTTCAGAAAATCCGGCACCAGATCACAGCCAATTTCACTAGAGCACCAAAATGATGTACCTTCATCAGAATTGACTGTATTTCAATGTACCAAAACTTCTTTCCATTGGTGTCCTTTAGTATTAAGCCTTCTAGTACAAGATTTACCACAAAATCCCATCATAGATGGCTTAGGATCATTGTAGAGCTGTCCAGAACTCCAATCTGAACTTTAAATCTTTCACAAAAAAGTGGTTTGTATTTCTCTGCACCAAAAGTACGAGTCATGTGCATTTGTTAAATGTAATAGTACTCATAATAAATACGCAAGGTGATAGGGGAATGAAAACACCCCTTAGTCCGTTCACCTTTACTTTATAGGGTTCAATTCTGAGAATGATTGCATGCTCTGACGTGAAATTAAGAAAAAAGTTCAGAAAAATCATGTTAATTTTACCAAATCGGCTTAGGATACAAAAGGGTCATTTACTGATTTAATAAATAATAATGTATAAAAAAAGATGTAAAAAATTGCCCTAGAACTCATTGGAGTAACAGCCAGGACGAAGAAAACTCAGATTCATTTGTTCACAGAGGCGCCTTTTTACGTTAGTTAACTTGGTTTAGGCTTTCGTCCAGAGAGCATTGTGTAGTTTAATTTGTTTGTTGTTTTTTTGTATTGTTTAATGCAGGTAGCAATTTTTGTATTTATTTATAACTAGCAGTCTCGGCGAACTTGGTACCGCTTTTAGGAAATCCCGTTTTCCCGTGGGAACTTCGAGAAGCCTTCAAAACAGCATATTAAATGTCAAGTTTCTTTTCGACTGTAATTTGTAAAATGGCGTTTTTTCCCGTTCCCGTGGACATTTCGGAAAGCGTTTTACTAACTCATAAACTTTCGTAGGCATACGTCCAACCACTCCCCACAGTTTCATCGCAATCGGATGAACGGTTTAGGCAGGCATAAGAGACAGACAGACAAACATTCATTTTTATATTCTGCTTTATTTTAATGATCGCCCATATATGATATTATTATTGTATTTTTAAAATATTTTAATAGTTATACTATTCGGGTCGGAAACCAATCCAACAAATAAAAAAAAATTCAAGGGCAGCAGTTTTGGTACATTGAATTCTGAAAAAAGTACATTAGTTGTTTAGGAGTTTATTCAAAATCGTCATTGGAACCAAAAACAGCAAAGGTGCAATGGAATGGAAACGAATCTTGGTACAATGACGTACCCAGGAACATTCGGGTTCGAATCACATAAAACTTGAAGTGCATATAAATCTATTTTTGGCCCTTCTACACCTTTGTAGAGAGTGTTGTACCGTAGAGTAATACCGGTACTTGCAGCTCCCTCTGTACCACATGGGTATGCCATACAGATGTACCACGGGTTTGTAGAAGAATTAATAGTAAATGACGATCCCGAATATCAATGGATAGATAAAATTCGCACTCCGAGAGCTTCGAACGAGGCGAGGCAAACTTTGTTTTTTAAGCTCGCTGGGGAGTTAAGGCGCAGAATCGGAGTGAAAGCTTTAGAGCTTGGAGGAAATGCCGTTATAGGTTATAGCCAATGTTTTGATCTGGAGGGGGAGTTGGGTGTCGTTGTACGTGGTATAGGTACTTCGGTGACTTTGACCAAATTGAGGGATGTGCCGCCTTTGACTATTTTAGAAAGCAATAATGAAGAGTAAGTATGCACAATGTTTAGAGAAGGAACCTTGCTGAAATGTCACTTTTGCCGAATGCCTGATGAAGGATCAATTCTCTATCACAGAGTCCTGTATAATTTTGGTGTGTCACAAAGATAGAAGCTAACCCTTCTCTTGCAATAATTGAAGCAATTTATTAATTGAATCGCCTCCTGATATACATCCCCAACTATTATATACATATATTCAGCCATTGAGTAAGTGTTGACAGTAATGAATCTGTTGTTCCACGTACACCAGATTGGTGTCTGGCTCACGTTACTCACTAACCCTAAAACCATGATTTCTACATGTTCTGCGATATAGTACAATGTTAAGAGTATTGCGGATCGACCTTGCTTATACCTAGTGGCTTCAACAAAATAAGTTGAGCTTGACTCGAGTTCATGTCCATCCCAAGGCATCGGAGATTTTCTTGGGTCTAGGGACTTGATCCTATCAGATATTTTTTTTATATTGAATATTGATAGTAGACCATATACCAATATGAAAATTATGCAAGGTTTCCTGACTAGAGTGTGTACATATCATGATGTTTAACAGAATTGTACGAATTGAAATGTTTGTGCATGTGCATTGTTTTTTACCAAAAGTTTATTCAAATTATTCGATACAGGCACACGTTTCCAACAAAATAACATGCTGATTTTTAAGATTTGTATGAATACCGGAACCGGGAGGCTAGTCAGTATGTAAATTTGTTTGATTTTGTATATGTATACACCCGTGTAGGGGCGGGAAAAGGTCGTAGGAGGCGACTAAACAGCAAGTCGGGCGCAACCCCTGCGTTAGAGTCTAGAGGGCGAAGTACCGACGGAGATTTATTTCTCGATTGTGACAATTTTAGTCTTAGTTATGTTTTCTTACATTTTTTGGTTGCGTTCCGTGAGCAAGTTGTCCTTAAATACGGTCCTGACTTTGTAAATGCTTTTGAAAGCCCGCGGCGCCAGTGAGTCGTCGGAAATTGATTAGTTTGGTAGATTTTGTTTATTTTGCAGTCGTCGTCAACGATACTGGTACGTAGCGCGGATTTTGCAACAATAGCAGAAACTTCCAGGTGGAGTTAATTTATTCGCGATTCAGATTAACAGTGAAACCTCCTGGCGTCAGCACGTTGTAATTACTATTGGTGGGATAAGAGCGTCGTTTGGTTTATTGAAAATGGCCAAAAGTCAATATTGTAGTTGTTACGGCTCTGCAATCATTGTAATTGCACCTTAAAGTGTGATTGCGCTACTATGATCAGCAAAACTCAGAGCGGCATATTCACATTGAAGGATGTTACCTGCACTCTGTGCGATTAGGTATGCCACAAGTAGTAAGAAACATTTGAATCTAAGAAAACGGCCTTTCAAGGTAGGATAGGATTATGGGGTTATACTTTCAATTTTCAAAAACGGCAGGAGAAATGCAATTCACTGTCAAATTAATACAATTTAACTTACGAACCTACTAGAATAACCCAATGTTTACAAACACACATGTACAATGCACTCCCTTTATATATTAAAAACATCACAAACATTAAGAAGCATCGAACGAGCCTAAAAAAATACTTAGTCGAACGTTGTTTTTATTCAATGAGTGATTTTTAATTGTAACATGTACTTTAGCGTTGTTTACATTGTTCCTAATTGACTTTTTAAAATTTTAAATGTCCATAATTGTTTGAATGTATGACGATGTCTATGTCAAGGTACTTGATCACAGACAATAAAGTTATTATTATTATTATTATAAAGTCATTCATTGTATGAGACCTATGATTTTATATAGACTGTCCATTTCAATAATTTTGGATAAGCTTAGGGGATCAATAAATACTTCCTGATTGGACGGCCAAGGAATACTACCATTAGTTTCCTGTATAAGTAAGGTAACCGTATTTTTGTATTCAGTATAGTAATAAACCAATTCCCCTATGGGATATCACTAAATATGAATTACTTGCTAATATAATTTGAACATCGGTAGCTAGAGCACTGCACAGTGCATTTACTGAGGGCTAACATTTTTCAGTACAAATCTGTTAAACCTCTTAATGAAAGACACAAATTAATTTATTTCTTTGCCCTTGTTTGTTGCCTACAGGCACGCCTTAGATAATTTGCAATTCCTTCGCTGCGATAAAGGCTTTCATTTAGATCGTAGTTACCCTAATAATATTATTAATAATAATAGTGTGTTGTCTCCGAATTCATTTTATTCATCCCAAGCGAGCGAGTTAACTTACCCCGGAATTAAACAAAAAAAGACACTCTCACGCCATCTATCATATAACGAATTCACTACAATGAAGTCTACCCTCTCGCTTAACCAAAATGTTTTCGGCACAACTAAAGACCACTCATCTTCCCTGCAAACATTATTGCGGCAAGAGGACTTACGAGGAGTGCCCGCCAAAAGTATTGCCCAAACGTTCAAAAATTTTAAATATTCTTCCCAAAATCTCTTATCGAAAAAAATGACCGCTTTAAAAGCGAAGCTTTCCGATTCGGAAATGCAAGAGGAAGATCATGATGGTGAGCATCGACCAGGAGCTAGAAAAAAGCGCACTCTATTTCACTCACAAAGCAGTAATGATTCGAACCCTTTGGCCGAATTGCTTGTCCATTCAATAATGCACAGCAGTTTAGAACGCATTGGAAACGAGGGCGACAGCTGGTGCGAACCAGAAAATTTAGATCAAATCTCCAATGATTCTTCTACAACTTCATCCAGCTCAGATGAAGATGAAACTGCATCCAGCAATGTTAACTATGACACTGTAAGCAACATCATAAAAAATTTAAATACTGTACCTGATGTTGAGAAACTTGCACCTTTAGCAACAGGTGAAAGTTTTGATATTGACGAGCACAGTTCTTGCCACTTTACTATTGGCACTGAGGGGAATGATTCCGAAAGTGGCGATAGTAGTCTCAAAAGCGAATTTTTTATGAAAGAGTCTATTATTCCTTCAGTACATATGACTGATGACGCAATTGAACGTCAAAGTTTGACCGAAACGGCAATGAAAGTAATGCTTCTCGACAAAGTTCAATTAATGGGCACATACACTCCTCCATCTTCTCCAAAGTGTGCAACTAAAAAAATAAAATTTATGCCGGACTTGAGTGATAGTAATTCATCATCACATATTCCTTCCGTTCACCTATTTAAACGGCCTGTCAATGCAGAACTTGACAAAGGCAGTAATAATATGCATGCAAGCTTAGCCCATTCTCCTAGGACTATCATTTCACCTGGAACAGAGTTAAGTAAATGCGACTCCGGACATCACCGAACCGAGTCCGTCAGCGGAAAGATATCCCAATCTCCTGGAAAATTCCAATCCATTCCGTTTATGAATCGTCGCTCTTCGGATTCCGACTTAAGCATCACTCCAAAGGGTAAGTGTCTGTCTCTCGCTAAGTTATCATTTTTTTTGATTTATATTCAAACTCAAATCTTAATTTACTGTAAGTACGAAAGCAATTACTTCGGTTTTCGTTGAAATAGTAATTTGAAATTTATTTTTTCTGGATGGTAATTTCTTGCAATAGGATTCTTTAGGAAACGTGAGTATTTCACGGAATTATAAATGTTGCATTTGTGTGTAGGTGTAATCTGCTCACATCTCGGACTACTAATGCTATTTGTATTTTGAATTTTGCCAATTTCTGTTTATAGTACTTTATATGTAATTAACCCATGTGTTTATCAGTTGTTTGTTTAAAACATGCTAAAGGCTAGAAATTGTTCGACCTTCTAACCAAAAAATTACCGGGTACTTCGTGTTAATGTTTATGTTCATTTTTAAACAGGGAATAGTCTAACAGGAAGTGATAAATCCTCTGGATTGCATAACGCGTATATCTCAAGAATTGCACCGATGGTCCATACAAGTATTCCCCAGAACAATTTTGATATGTTAGAGTACCCCTTCATGACAATATATAAATTCCCCCCAGGATTTGTGATGTATTTGGGTAAGTGTTGAGTGGGTAATGTAATACCTATTTACTGTTGTAGTGGAACTTTATACTTGTACAAAATCTGTTAATGTTTGCAAACCTCCACTAAATTGTAGAGTCGAATGCAAGAGCAATTTTAATAGCGAAGCAATATAAAATAAACAAGTATAAATTGTGCCCTTTGTGAGTACCCTCTTCCGACAATCCGTTCTTGAAGTATAAGGGAATATACCTACCCGATCACGATAAGAGGTCGAGGAGAAGGGCTATGGTTGGTAGAAATTAATTCCTTTCGTTGAGACCTTTCATTAGAGTACAATGAAGGATAAAACTTGTTCCACTCCCCCCTCCCCCTCTACCCCGTACTTTGATCAGAGGACAGAAAGAACGGCAGTAGTTGGTAGAAAACGGTTCCTTTCGTTGAGACCTTTAATTAGGATACAATGATACAATGAGAGATAAAATTAATTTTTAACCCCTCTGTAAATAGTTTTTGGTGGTATGTGTTTGATTGTAAGATCAAACGAACTTACCTGAATCCTGAAGTGAAGACGTCTCGCCTGAGAAGATAATTGTTGCGACAAACCACCTATCCGATCACTTAATTGACCCGATTGAATTTCTAAAATCGGTAGTCCCATTAACACGTATTGTTAATTGGGATTTCTCATGTGACCATAAAGGTCACGGACTTGCAATTTTAATGCTCGTTTTAAATTAAAATAGGAAACCAAAATTATCTAAATAATTACTGAAATTCTAAATAGTCATTTATCCTCATCTTCTAAATGACAGGAGCTGTCGGACGCATCAAAGACAATTGAAATATCTTGACGGGAAAGGTTACAAACGGTTGGCGATTCATTACAGCTTGTGTTGACAGTGACGGCGGCTGAACTCCTAGAACCAAGACAAATACTTTCGCCACGAGACTTTTCGTAATGAAGCGCCCGACTTAAAACGCTTCATCTACAGAGTGATCACTAAAGTATGTAAACTTCAAGGCGGAAAACGGGTGCTTCGTTACACAATCCAGATCTGAGATAAGGGTCCCCACGGACAAACTATTTACACACTAAAGTAACGACCAATTAATGTCAATAAAGTACCACTACAACATCCAAAACGCTAAAGACATAAGGTTCGACTTTCACTGGTTGTTTTTCCGGTTCAGGTGGCGTCGTGAGCGCACGATCTGTCAAGCTTTTGGAACGCATTACGAATCTCGAGGAACCAGAATCTCGCGATACTTGGTGGACAGAGTTACGAATGGAAATAAGGTCGCACATGAGATCTTTGCATTGCAATGCAGTTCTTGCATATTCTGAAACATCAAGCATAAGGTACTTGCGTTCACACACCATAAATCTAAAAGGAGGAGTTTTAGTGATGACGTATGCGTGCTTAGCGCCAGCGGGACCGCGGCGGTCATACGATTTTATAGTCCGGAGGAAATGGCGGAGGGTTTAAGCAGTTTACCGGGTGGTTCGCGACACACTTCCGGCAATAAAGATGTTATGGCATCGTCGTTGGAACGCAACGATTTTGAAAGGGAACGAATACATCAAAAACAAGATGTAGGTAAACTGCCCATTTCGCCGATTTTGTTTTTAGAATTGTTGCGTTTAGCTCGGATTTAATTCGAAGCCACTTCCCGAAAGCCCCGAAAATGAAACTGTTCCAAACCATACGAGTATTAACACAATATCTCCTTGTTCAATATGCCATTTACCTTACATTAATAACTCCGTGCCATTACGTACAATTTCGTCCAAATGCGCCTTTTGTAGGTAAGTCAAATTGTTTAAAAAAAATAGCTACTGATTATACCTTCCAGATTTGGTAAAGTTCCAGATGTCTTAATGGCCACGATTGAAATTCCAGAATCTGTGCCATCAGTTGGTCGTGGTTGTTTTGTTCAGGCCTACGTTTGCAGACCGTTGAAAGATTTACGTAGCGAATTAAATGCCAAAGATATTTCGGATGGTTTACCTTTCCTCGAATATGAGCTACACCGTATTTTGGTGAATAAAATACGAATTAAGGGAATGAATGCTGTGTTCGGGCTCAGAATTAGAATTTCGGTCGGTACCAAGATGTTGGTCGGCATCGCGACTGGCACTGCAATGTTTTTGTTGCCATTACCTTCACCTCCTTTACCAAAACTTGTTTCCATAGGATCTATAGATGAAAAACAATTGACTAAGATGCAGCAACACTTGTATGACACCATTCAAGCGAACAAGGAGATATACCATTTGAAAACTAATGTAACTATTTTGTTGCATTTTCCAAGATATATACCTATCTTTTCAGGAACACTTGTTAAACTCTCGTTTGTCTCCAGATGATGAGCATCCACAAGAAGAGGAGCAATCATTTCTTGATCTTTCAACCGAAAACCGAGATTGTTGCATATTGGAGGTATAGTTCCATAGATTTTCGTATTTGTAACACGCCCTTTAGGTTGAAGACTCTGAAGATAAAGAAATAATGGAACTTCTCCGCGAGCCTCCTCCGCCTGATGGTTTTCACGTGATAAATACAGAGGTCATACCGGGATTAGATGAAATGGAAGTTATAAAAAATTTACAAATGTTCACTCAAATTTGGAGGTCCAAAATTTATCCCTCGTACAATTTCGGATTGCACATTTCCAAATTATTACAAAGTGTGTATTTCAAATTACGGCGAATGGTTCCGTGCGCACTCTGCAATTTGAAGTTTCGCATTGATCTACCGGAACCCGACGAAATACAACTAACTGTGTTAGGTATGCATTTGATTGGTTTGATTCAGTTTCATTCTTCGTCCTTTAGGAATGGCGTTAGAACTTAGGAAATCGGTAAAACCAAGGAAGAAGAATATTCATACGTCCTTACGGGAATCAACCCAAATAACCACAGGTAAATACGTTGCGTTTTTCCTCAATTGTGTAATGATTTCTTGTTAGAAGAAGATATGATGTTTAATCTGGAAGAAGATCCTGCCGATTGTAATTCCTTAAGCGTTCAACCGGCGAAGAGTAGGACTCGATCTCCATTCCGTAGTGCTCCAATTGCTTCGAACGTAGGTTACCCAGATGAGCGAGTTTCGTGATGCTCAATTGTTTGTAGGTGGCGCTTCCTAGGGAAAAACGTAGTATCGATATAACGCAGTTGTCGTACGTACCGGGCGGTAAAATCGAAAGGTATTTAGGAAATTTGAACTTCTTTTTTATACGCGAAACGACGTCAATCAGAGAGGTGAGTTTGTAGGTAAAGGACGCGCTTGTGTTAATTTAGCGATACAGGAAGGCGGACTCAGCGGATTTATTCATACTTTCGTCACTGAAGTATTGGCGATAGTTAGAGCTCATATAGCTGCATTAGGAGGAAATGCGATGGTTGCCTACTACATGACTGAGTGCGATTTCTCGCATAGTGTACATAAAAATCAGGTAGGTATCCTCTTTGAATAAATAGATAACACGCTTATTAACGAGTTCGTGATTTTGGACTTTCTGTTCGTCCATCCGACAAATCTCGAACGGTTTATCATCACCCAAGGAAGAACTGATTACATTTTTTTATTTTAAATTATTGGCTGATCGCGCACAGAAATTTTCCCAAGCCGGATCAGTAAATATCCGGATTCGGTAGCGGTATCAAACAAAAAGCTTACCTTGCAATTAAACGGAGCGATAGAAATTACTGTGCAAGAAAAAACGAAAGCTACGATGCGGTAAACTTAATGTAAATGCAAAAATGAAACGCTATGAATGAAAAAAAATGACGGAAAAGCTGAAAAATACGGTATTTACTTGCGAAAGTGTAAAAGGCAGAAAATATTCCTACGGGAACGGTTGCAAACGCCTCTTATTTTCTTCAACGGGCGGTTCTACAAATTAACCCATTAATTTCTACCTTATATTTGCAACTCCTAAACAGAAATACATATTTTCGAAGCGAAAATCTTCGTAAGGAAGCGCCTGATTTGAAACAGTTCTAGATACCGGGTGTTCATTTATAGAGTGATCGCTAAAACGAGGAAACGTCAAGGCGGAAAACGGGTGCTTCGTTACAATTTTAATTATCTCTGTTATTTCTTCATTATTGACATCCTAAAAATTCCCATAAATTTTCCACAGAATTTGCTTTATTTTCAGCTTGTCAACAATGCTTTTTCTGTTGGATTTTAGTGGAATCTCTGAATTTTTATTCATTTGCAAAAAATACGCACGCCCAATTTGCGCTTTCTTTACGCTAGCCGTATATGTGCGAAAACCTTAGACTGAACGTTTTTATTGTGATTTTATGTACCTACTAACGCAGTTTTTATTGCGAATTTCCATGGCCATGTGTTGTTTTCATATTAGGTTTTGGTAATTACATTAATGATTCATTATTACACGTCCATTTTTGCCGTGTTTTCTGCACTCTCCTCTTCTACAACTTTGATTTTAAATAATTTTGCACACTTAGCCGTCTAATTAAGATTACTCCAGCAGCAGAACTTTTTAAAAGCTTTTTTTATGAGAAATAATTTGCACTCGTTTAAAGTTTAAAAATAATAATTCATTTTGGTCTATTGGTTTATTAGGGATAGAGTCATCGACGCTTGAGGGTAATACCAAGGTATTAAATACATGACAATAGATTAAAAGGTGAAGTTAAATGTTGCATTTAAATGAAACGCTGTTTTATTCAATAATTGGAATTTTATCCTGCGTTTAACTATATACCTATATTGAAATTGGAGGAAAATACAAGGAAATAATTTTTTGTCAGGAATTGCAGGCTTGGTGGTTGCATTGGTGTTCTAAATTTGGGTTACCTTAACAATGATCTATTTACAATATAATTATATACAAATTTACAATTTTGAGCGTAATTGCTGGTGGACGGCGTATCTTCAGGGGTCTCTTGCAGGTAATTAGACATGTTAGATATTGGAACGGAACCCAGCGGATGGTTTGGTTTGTTGAAGAACTTTCGGATGATGTTCGGGTTCCGGTCTTCACACAGACTAAAGGCGCTACTGGGCCTTGACGTGCTAGAGAACAAGGTAAGACCGACGGCTCCTGCTTGCGCGTCGCCTTATAAAGACGCCGCGCATGCGTGCTATTGAGTGGAAATTACACTTTTTTGAAAATAAAGTACTATTCCTACGTGGTAAGCTGCTGCCACTAAAAATGCCCGACCTCGTTCTAAAAGGGCCGGTGAAACTCGCGATTGGATATTAAATGTGGGAATTTCAAAAATCGAAAATGTGAAATAATTTCTATCGCGCCATACGCGAGAAAGTTGTTTATTCTGACGATTATTTTTCACAATGAAATCACGGTCATTTTATACGGGTGGTTTTTGAGTGACTTAGTGTTAAAAACGCGAAAAATTTGATTGAATTTGTTTTCAAAATTGCGAACAATTTTGAGAAAAAACGAATTTTAATATATCAGCAGCCCATAGGTATTCATATTTATAACCATCGTTTACGAGGACACGGTTTATTTCAAAACGTAAAAATTTTGCAATTAAAAAAACTATAGTGATTTTGAAAACTATTTCTGCGTCACCGTTTTGTACGTGAAAATGTACAAAACTTTTTCCTTTGCAGTTTTTTCATATCTCTCTTAATGATGACACTATCGCCTTTTGAAGAAAAAAGTCAGTTATCCGAAGAAAACATCATTCAATTCGGCTCAGAAGATGTTTTACCATTTAACCGACGTTGAAACTTTAAACGATTCCGAGATCTGAATGCTGTGCACGACAAATAAACCACCCTGTATATATACACACTCGGTATTATTTCTCATTTATATCTAGCAACGTTTCTTAAATTTATATTAGTGGAGCAGAGATGCTAGTGGACCCCCCTCCCCCCCTTCTCCGTGTATTTTGCTAAAGGTATTCATGGCAACGTATCTTAGGAGTAGATAAAATGAAAGTTGTCTTGGTATACTAAATTGTGCTCTTTGTTCCTTCGTAGCATCTAAGTCTAAGACCTTGGATCACAGTTCCTTTACCATAAAATAAATCCAGAAAAATGTAAGAGCAAAACTGTGCACAATTACCGTCGCCATGTTTCTAAAATAATTTTGGTAACCAGTGGCGTAACGTTTACGTTTTTTTAAAAACGCAAACCCATATTTTATTGCATATTTGGAACTTATTTTTTATGCAATACCTTAACCCTTAACTTTAACGATTCCTCTGGTATAACCTTTTCCTCAAAATTTGTCCGTTTTTTGAAGTTTTTTCTTAGGGAAACTAAATTGCGCCGGCGGTTAAGTTTTAAACTCCCTGGCTAAGCCTCTGGATGTAATATGTTACATAAAAAATAAGTACTCTTCAAGTGCTTTCCGAATATGCAATAAAATATGGGACGTTCCATTTAAAAAACGCAAGTATGATACGCCACTGGAAAACAGCCCGCCACTGGCGACCGGAAATATTTTAGAAACATGGCGACTCGATTGTAATTATGCACAATTTTACTCCTACATTTTGTTCGATATCTTGTATGGTAAATTCTGCTAGGGGTCTTAGCTTAAATACTGACCTGTATATTGAGTGAGGGGGGGGGGGGGGTTAGTGCCTTCTGTAGCGCATTATGAGCTCACTTTAAATTAATTTCAAAATGAATAACCCTACGTTATGCGCTAAGTACAGAAGTTAGTACCACAAAATTTAAATTTAAAGGGTACATTTTTTGAAAACGTTGTACAGTGTGTCCTATTTTGGTGGAAACTTGCGTGTATCTCAGCTGTTTTTACAGATAGAGACCTGCGGTTTTCGCGACACATCTTTTTTGTGAAACTTTTAATACCGCATACAGAATCAATCTAGCTATGTTTGTTTCTGAGATACAGGGTGGAAACGAAAAGTTTATCTTTTTCAGTTCAGTTATCATATCTTACCACCCATGTAAGATAGAAAAAAAGGTAAAAACTGTCCGTTTCTGAGGTTTGATCCAAAGTTGATATTTGTTAATGCAACACGTTGTATATCTTAACTGTATGTCTTAACGTCAATTGTTTTCCATTATTTTTCCTGATTACATTGATACAAGCTATATTTTTTGATATAGCCATGAAAACCTTATTTTTTTTACTGATTCATGGAAAATTTGTTTTGTTTATTGTACCTATGGTAATTAAGGCAGGTGATACCAATGAATAAAAATAGCTGACCGTAGAAACATGCCATTTCAAAATTTAAAAAAATGTGATATAATATACTTAATATATAATTATATTAAACAAGTTGTAAATCAGCATATGCATGATTAAAGCGCATTTTTGGTAATGCAGGTCAGTATTTTATTAGCGAAGTTTAAAATTATCGATCACACGAGTAATTTTGGCTGCGTTAAATAATTAATTTTATTTAATTTCAATTGACGGTACGTCTTCATTTTGTAAAACAAATCACAAAGTAAATAATAAGTTTTTATACTGGTAGCGCTATCTAACGGTAAAATTATAGCACCTCCGAAACCCATATCGAAATTATTTTCTTCAATTATCGATCTCAAAAGTAATCGAACTCAAAATAGACTAGTGCCTGCACATCTACACTATAGCAGAAAGCTTTTAGTGAAAATTTGAAGTCTCTAGCTATTGTAGTTGTGGAGATCTAACGCGGACAGCCGGCCTGCCAGCAATAACGAATATAATAGCGTATTTTTTTCAAAAATGCGCTAAAAATATAGGTTGTGGTACATCAATGTAATCAGGAAAAAGATGCAAATAAGTTGACATTAATATACAGGGTGTACAAATTTTAGGTCAAATCTCAGAAACGGTGGGAAAACATTATCTTTTGACTACGCCACTGGATTCTACTTACAAATCTCTAAAATGGACAATTTTTACCTTTATACTATTTTACATGAGTAGTAAGATATTATAACGTCTCAAAAAGTCAAACGTTTCGTTTTCACCCTGTATCTCAGAAACAAACGTAGCTAGCTTGATTTTGTTTGTGGCATTAAAAGATTCACAAACCGCAAGTCTCTATCTTTAAAAACAGCTGATAGATACACGGCAGTCTCAACCAAAATAGGACACACTGTACACCCCTTTATTACTGCCTAGTGGACATTAAAGAACTTATTATTCCCCAAAATGGGACACACGGTACATAATAAATTGTTCGATATTTCAATTCTTCACTAAATTTTAAGCAAAATTGTAAGAAACAAAATGTACCTAATTTCAATCGTTTCCTTATACCTCGTTATGCTCCCAGATAATCGACCGTTTACACACTTATCAGTGTTTATTTTCAAAACACAATAACCCGGAAACGATTGAATTTAGGTACATTATGCTTCTTACAAATTTTGCTTAAAATTGAGAGAAAAATTCAAATATCGAATAATATATAGGGTGTTCCATTAAAAAATTCAATTTTGGTGTGCCACGCCTTTATGATCAACCTCGTGTAATTACAATTATTACTGTCAAAACTTTTTTCGGTACCTTGTATATTTTTCCCTATAACTGACCGTTTCCAGACTTATCAGCGACCCTGTATACATTATCTAAACAAAAAAAAATTTACGCACCAAAAAGTTTGATATTAAGATAAAAATAACGTGTTGGTATCAAATGAAAGTCTGTTTTAATGCTTAAAAATTATTTATAACTTTTTCCACTACTCAAAAATTGGCAATGGATCAATATTTATGAGCTTTTTTGAGCCTTTTGACGTAAAAGTTCTAAAATTTTTTAGCACGAACATTTTAAATGAATTTGTTATTGAGCTTTTCAACGTACTAATTTTTGAGCTCTTGTGGTCATTTCTTAAATGAAAGTGCCCCCTAAACTTTTCGCCAACTTGACAAATAAAGAGTTCAGCGAACCGAATCTTCCTTTTTGAGTTCCTCTGGCTAATTCACAAATCAGTAAAATTTGAAGTTAGCAACTTCATGTCAACTTGGTAAAATAAGAGCTTAAAGTTCGAAACCATCCATATGTATTAGGTTTTTGAGCTTTTCAACGTCCTAGTTCACAATTTATGTTTAAATGTCTACAGGAGCTAAAAAAATTGCGTATTAAACCTCATAAACATTTTCCCGTTTTCCATTTTCTCCTAAACCATAAGAGCTCAAAGCGTTGAAAGAGGTCGTAATTGATTTTGATTGATTAATTCGATAATATTAAAGGATTTTTTAAAACTTGTTTGTGAAATGTCCTTAACAGCCCAACAATTCAGGAATATAGTGTAGGTACTGATTGATTTACAATTTTTGACCTCGGAATGGTCAAAATGTGAAGCGGATTAATTACCATAAGAGCTTAGAAATTAAAGATTTTAAATTCCCAACAAAAGCTCATAAATATGGATTGATATTCAATTTTTCAGTCCTTGTTGTTCTCAGGTAGTATCGAAAAGCTCAGAAAAGCTCAAAATACTAAGCTTTTGGACAGTTTTTTACTTCATCCGATCCAATAAGCACCCAGTTTTGTTAATTAATGCACTCTAGAAGTTAACTATAAATCCGTCATATGGATTAATTCTAAAAAATGGTCAACTAGCAGATGTAAAGGAAAATCGTGGATATTAGAGGCGAACACTATTTGCGCTTTTTTAGTAACATTAAAATTTTTACTCGTTTGGACGAATAATGGTGGGGCGAGGGTGGGCGACCCTCACCCTACTGTAGCGTCGTCCTTGTTCACGTTTGAGTTTGCAAATGAAAAAAAATATTGTGTGAATGTCCCAAGAATTTCATTCGCCGATTGCCGGCTCAACCGAAAAATCAGAAAAAAGTGGGAATATGAGCTTCTAATACAAAATACGCAAATTGTATGACATAAATCAAGCATTAATTTGAAGAGAAGAATGCTTGCGGAATTTTGAAAATTTGTTCTCGAAAAACTGTCCTTAGTACGCGGAGGGTGGTTTATGAGATGAGATTATTAATAACGGCGCACTGTTACGATTTACACACATTGACGGGGGCGTTTCATAATGTTGTATTCTTATACTTCTTTAATTATCTTCCTGGAAATTGCGGGGATATTTTTGGCGTGTATTGCAATAAAAGAGTTTGCGGCTATTGTCAGTTCAAGATGCTGCAATAAAATGTCGGTGTTTATCACGAAAAGCAAATGTTCAGGGTTAATGGGCGAATGTAAACCGTTTTAAATATAAAATGCGTGTCATATCCATACTAATTTTTTCTAGATTACCCCATTTGCCGAAGTTAATATTTAAGCTCTACGTTATTTACGGGAATGTAAGGAACACTGTTAATCTTAATTCCTCGCGCTTTCTGGGTGAGCGCGCAACTTTTCATTTGTTATTTAATTAAAATGTAACGCGTTCAATTTCACAAAATCACAACCCCCGACGTCCAGTTTACATCTTGAACTGCCACAAATTGACATATCGAGAGGTATCTCATGTCAAATTGACATCGATGGTCATTTTATACAACGAGAAGTTGCAATAGAAATGCAATTTCAGTTGATAACAAGAACGGAAAGCTCCCCAAATTGGGAAATTTTTTCCACACGTCTGTCGTTATTTATAATTTTAAAAAGCTCCCGATCAGATTTTTATTTAAATGCCGTCGGTATCCCGCAGAGAGTGTATTTCTTCGTGATTTACTTTAAATATTTAAACGGCGAAAGATAAATCGAATACGTATACCTTTAAGTCATCGATGATTCTCTGGAGAGCTCAAAATTGGCGTATAAAAATGGGATAAGATCGACGCTACTTCTAAAGTTATAATCGGGAGGGAGTAGAAATGTTTATGACGTACAAATGTAATTAAGCATAACTGTTTATTATAATTAACTTTTCATGTTTGTGACGTGACTTTTTTTCAGGGACAATGCCTTATCAACGTCGGTGGAGACGTGGTTTTTGTTTCTTACTACGCGGAGAAATAAGTTACAATCTCGATGAATAGAAGCTTATGTAATTATATACGTCCAGGTATAGAGGTATTGCCTTTCAATTTGTAATTCGATCGTAGGTTATCACCTGTGGCAATTCAGAGTTACTGTTAATAAAAGCGTTTATTGTAAATTTAGTTTTATTTTTGTTAAGAGTTTCGCAGTTAACAATGCGAGCTGAAGGTAAGTAATAAATGCATTAATATTTATAAATATATAATCATATTCATTTACACATTGGTGCGAAGGAACTAATTTTAGAACGTATCAACAAATTTTGCTTAATTACTTTTTGAGAGCGAAAAAGAGTAAACAAATAAGCCTATGATTTGATTATGCAGACCTCTATAGTCCGAGACGTCTTCCAAAACGTAAAAATACGTGGTCAACATCTTGCCTCTTCGTTCCCCGATCGTAGAGTTGCGTGTCCTGGACATCAGCTAACAACAAATATATCTCTTGAAGTAATTGTCTTTACGACTTTTGCAATATTGATTACCAACCCCATTAAGAAAGTGATAATTCATTGTTACCCCCCATAAACTTGCGTAACACTCACCGTTTGATCGAGATGGGTTTTCTGACAGGAACTGTTCCAAAGACGCCAGTAGGCAAAGTTGACGCAATTTCGGCGATGCGTCTGATGAACACAAATTTGTCGTTTCAACGCTGAGGTTTACAGTGGATGAGATGAGGCCGGCGAAGATGCAAATGGATGCGATTATAATTTTATATTGATGCATTCTGCAATAAAAAAGAAAGAATTGTAGTGCGCTTTGTGAAACGCGATGCCGAATTGGAATTCCACAACACAAAGTAAAGTTGTTGCCGAAGACGACACCGTTTTCCGTAAACAGTTTAGTCCATATTGAATGACACACACCTACTGCGTTCCCCAATCCCAACAAAATAATTGCAAAAATAAACATGTTACGCGTGTCAAAAGCATGTAACGTGGAGATTAATGTACGAATTCGTGCGATTCTCAATAATTTCATCTATTTACTCCGGCGGCTATATATCATTTTTTTTTTCATTAAAATACACATTTTCCCGGCTTTTTTCAATATTCGAGTGGAATTTCTCAGAGAACTCGCCTCAAGTCTTAACAATATCGAGTACCTCTCCAGCGGTAATTTTCAACCGCACGTTGAAAACTTTCTCATCTTGTTCCACCGCTCCAATGAAAAAATAGTTTTCGAATAATTGATTCCAAGCTCTAAACGTGCGAGTACTTACGTCTTGGGGTGAATCAAATTTGTTAGCCAGAACCAGAAAAACTTTGAGAAGAAAACACTAAACTTTACAACTTCACTTCTGAATGTGCAGCATAAATCAGAAGACAATCTTTTTATATGTGGAGTCTTCTGCGCCTACGAGTCTTTGCGCTGTCCCGCCCTTTGTTGCCGCGCATTATCACCTTGATAACAACAGCAATATGCTGAAGCTGGAAAAGGTGCCCACACGTTTCTGAACTACAACCATTTGAATTAAAGAGAAATTTCCTTAACCGGACTACGCGTTTTTTTTTGTTCATTTTGGCGAATTACGGGCGGTTCGCATAGATAGATATAAAATTGTTAAATGTTTCATTTTAGTAATTAACAGGAAATTAATCTTTGGAAGGGTCAAAGAAAATTCATTATACTACCCAACATTCACTAATTTAGATGAAATAAAGTATAAAAGTTCTATACTTTTATCTAATAACCATAATGAGAACACTTTTTTATGGCAAAATTGAAGAGGCTAAACTCTTCACTAATTTCCATAAAGATTTCCAATTGCAACTGACATACGTACAGCTAATCGACCAACCTGATGGACGGAAATTAAAGGTGCAAATTGCAGATAAATGATTGCTAAATATTTGAAAGAAAATTGAATGAGTTTTCGAAGGTCTTCAAGGCGGTATTGCCGAATGAGTTTGTAATCGTTAATTAAATCCACTTGAATTAAGAAAGGATTTTCAAAGAGAACTGTGCAGTGAAGCTAAATTCTGAAAATGCAGCATGGGGTCCGTGCATTTTTCAGTTCAAAACCATGTGTACTGCTGTTTTTCTTCGTGTCCGATCACTATATGTATCTTGGACCATGTTTAATTCCTTCTCTAATCAATTTCCAAGAATCCAAGTGTCTTAAGTGTTGAATATTGACCAAAAGTTGAGTTTGCAAATGCGTTCTAGGAAGAACAAAATCATAAGCAATTCCCCATATCTTGTTAACTCAACATAAGCGATAAAGTTGAAAATCACTCATTCATGGAAACTAACATTTACTAAAATTGCGTTCAGCAATTCCCTTAAAATCATGGTTTTCGCTTGATAAATCAACTTTGATATGTTCAAACCCCATAAAAAAGGCGCTAATTTCACAAAAAATACAAGAATTGTGTGTTACAAAAGAAAGTGATAAATAATTTCGTTCAAAAAATTAAATTTTATCGTTTGTATTGTTTAGGTTAGCTATATTTTAGAAAACAAAACCGTTATACCGCTATAAAAGAGGTGTAGGCAGGGCCGTCGAGAGCCACAGCGGGACCCAGGGCAATTTAAAGCGCCCGGGGCCCCTGATTTTAGATTTAAAATATTCATAGTTCAGCCAATCTAAGTTTAATAAAACAAGATGCGAAGAATCGCATACGATTTTCAGTACCAGACTTTTAATTCGGCTCATATTCAATAGCACCGATCCTTGAACTCGTAGAAATCGATTGGTGAAGGTTCTCTTTTCGTTCTCGAGTTAGACGAGGAACAGACGAACAAAACCATCACATAAGGGGAAAGCTAAAAACATATACTTTTTGAAATTTTCGTTGTGGTTCCTTTCTTATACGGTGAGTACAGCCCAGAGACTAGAACGGCAAAAGTTTATTTGGATTGGTCACTTCCTTCCCGAGGTATTACTGATTTTGTGCGGGGAAAATGCGCTTTCGTCCGTCGCGAGTGACCACGTTTTAACTTGTTTCGGTTTTTCCTCAATATCTTGTCAACTTTTTCATAACCACTTTTAACGAAATGAAAGCTCATTAAATTTCCTACAAAAAACGTATAACAAACTTTTTTCTAACACTTGGAGGAGATATAGGCAGGTGAACGAGCATGATACGCTTCCTATCCGACAGCCACACTTTGGTACACACCTTGTCTTGCATGAAAAAAATTTTTGGGATCAATAATAACATTATTTAAAAAAATGTATGTATTTATTTATTTATTTATTGTCCCTTTGGTGTTCTGAGCCCTCAACAGGCTTTCGCCCAATTACAAAATTGCCCGCACAATGCTGTTTATAGATGCCCCTGCAGAAGGCCTTAAGTTGTTCTATACTACTCTTACGAATTAGGAAAACTGCAGGAAAAGCCTAATTCGGAGTAGCCGGCAGAATGCTAGAAACTGATCTAAGGAAATTCCCATCTCTGTCACAGATGAAAAATTCTTACCTCAGCCCAAGTTCGAACACCCGACCTCCGGCTATGTAGCCCAACGCCCTACCACGGAGCTACACAGTCGGTTCAATCGTCAATCATATCGGAAGTACAGGGCCCCCCGGGCGTTAGGGCTCGGGGCATCCCGTCGCCAAGGGAGAGGGGGGTCTCCCGACGGCCCTGGTTATAGAAGCAATATTAATTTTTAAATGTAAGGTAAAACAAAAATGTTTAAATATTGTCTATCACGTGCTGGGCCATTAAACGAATATTTGCAAAAACGACGTCGAACCATCAGCTCACCGTATACCTTGAAAGGTGGGCGGAGGGAGGGCTCGGTGAAACTGACCACTCGAAAATTTACCGAAGGATTTCGCCAAAGCCAAGTTCCATTCCTTAATTTTCCCGAAATGTTGATGTAAGGAGAGTCGACTGTTTCATCTGCAGAAGAAGATGTTATTTTTTTTATGTAAAAATTGAGAGTTGTCTATCTTTTAGAAAAGTTATAGTAACTTATATTCGATGGAAGTTGAAAATTATCAAAAAGACCGTGACCACGAATATTGATCTAGTAGGTTGAATTTATTAGTGAAAACCATAAATAGGAAAACCTGTAAAGGGAATTCTAAATTGGAACTATTTCATTCTTTATCTTTACGTCACTATATCCAAAACGATAATATTGTGTTTGATTTTGCGAGCATGCAAATCAGAAAAATAGATTTTAAGGGCAATTTTCAGAAACAATAGGAAAAGAAAAATTTTTCAGGAAGTACGTCATACGGTGTGGGTTATTTTATTTATTTGCAGAAAAAAATCAAGTTATTTTAATACATTCGATACTTTTATTCCAAAGAAGGGAGTGTCAACTCCCTTTATATGCAAACCGTTGCATACTTCTATTGCAACCGCTGATGGTGTAATGGGAATTCTTTCAATTCATTCATTCTGGGGGTAACCTGTTATGGTTATAAATAATTAAATAAAATCACTATCGCCCGAAGCCATTTTCAGACGTATATGGTCCTTGTAGATCGTTTCTGCATCTACGTTTCAGAAAAACTGAAAACTGTTGGAAATTTCTTAAGGGACTTTTTATTATAGAGTGGGAAAAGCTTTGAAAGCTTGAGACTGTGATGTTCCCACCCTCCCGGTTCTCTGTCTATTCGGCCGTGCTCACACACTTACCTATCCATAGATTTTAGAGATACGTGGACAAATTTTGTTTAAATTTATCAGTTTGGAGAGGGGGAGGGGGCACTTTTTGAAAAACTATTGTTTTGCACGTTGGCGAACAATTGGAAAAATCGAAGAACATACCTAAATATAATGCTTTGATAACGACCTATAAACTTTATTGCGGAGAGGCGTTTTTTCAACCTGTCAATGTTTTTCGACATTAGGTATTAGGGAAACAAAATGGGAAGAATTGAAAATAAATAAACAAAGTTAAAATCAAATTTTTCATGGAATTGAGCGTCAAAAAGTTAACTTTATTAAAGTGGGAACTAGGGAATGCAATCCCACAGCAAAATCTCAATCCCTGTATTTGCGGAATTGTTAGATGTTAATCCCGCGGGATCCCGGTATTTGCGGGATCTCGCAAAACTTTAAATAAATTTGCAAATAAGCAATTCTGTGCGGTTAACTTCTGTATCAAATAAATAAATTATCACAATATTCAGCCTAACTTAGAAATCAAAAAAACCTCACCTGTAAAGCACAAAAAGATTAACTTCTAAAGTTTTTAACGAAAAAAGTTTAACAATTATTTTAAAAATAACTTCTCCGTTATGCGTTTCATTAACAAAGTAAACACAGTCGTCCCCTTGGTCGATAAATTCCTCAGTCCCGCAAATCGCGCGGGATCCCGCTCCATTTATGTGCGGGATTAATCCCGCAAAAATGCTGCGGGATCCCGGTATTGCATTCCCTAGTGGGCACAATGGAATCTAATAAAAATAGGTAAACTGCAGAAAATACAGACGGACGAACAGAAAGTTAAAATGACTAAACCTTTTTGTTAAAAATCAACAAGTAGTCTTACAAATTAGGTACGGAAGACACTGAAACGGTATAAATATTTTTAATTAAAAACATATGGGGAAATTTCGACTTTTCCCAATCGTAAAATTATTCACCCCATTTGGGGCATTTCCGGTCTACGATCAAAGGAACAAAGACCCTAGTTAAAGTGAGTTTTGTGATTAAGGTGTGCAACAAGCAAAGCAGTTTAAATAATTATCTATAAGACGTCATTATATCTAACCTTTAGATGGAATCTCAATATGCAGATCATGAACATGATACTCCTAATCCAGGATGTAAGTTGGAATTATATCCAATCTCAATATGTAAGTCGGGATTATACTCAATTTCTAGTATTAATGAGACTTATTTGAATTATTTAAAGGGTTGGGTCTAGTAATCTTATTGATTGTAAATGAATCAAGAGAAAAATGATGATACGTAATCTGTAACCTTTAAGAATATGAATGGCTGGGAAACTCGGTATAACGCTTTAGCTTTATTCAAAAAGACAAAATTTATTCAAATTCATTATATGTTAAAGCTAATGTATGCTTATGAACTTGGTTATTTACATAAAATTGTTTATTATTTGAAATGTACGCTTCACCATAAATGCTAAATTTTCTCTAACCGAGATCGTCTGAACTCCCAAAAACTTTTATCGACCTGACCTACACTTTTTATTTAACTTTTATGCATTAGACAGGCGAAAGTGTACTGCCATGAAAACTCGACGCAATAAACGAATAAAATAACTGCATTCATTTTGGATTGTTCCAAGATACACATTAAATCTCTAGATAGGAATGGATCATGAACATGAGACCGCAGCGTTGATCAGTTTTTGCTAAGTTGTCGTTCAAAATCAGAA